TCACTTCTTGACTTAAAAAATATATAATGAGCCATAACTAAACACTATTTAAGGTATAACCAAAAAAAAAAATGTTATAACCAAAATAATAACTACAATAGATCATAACCAAGTCATAACTAAGAGTCATAATCAAACACAACTTGAGACATATAACCAAAGACCTCCTTGGTCGTAAAAATTATAAGAAATCATAACTAAATCATAACTAATATTACAATGAATCATAATTAACAATACAATAAATTATAATTAAAAATACGAATATCATAACTGAACATAATACATGTTTTAAAAAGAACTGTATTATAGAATTTTTCATAACACAATTTAAATTGCCATATTTTTTAAATTTTCTGCCAAATGAATAACCAAATGTCTTACATGGGTATAGGGTCCATAAAAATGCAGACCCCACGCTCATGTAACACATTTGGTTATTTATTTGGTAGAAAATTTGATACCGCCAGTATTACCCTAACACAATTTGGGGAAATTATTCAATAATCCCGGAATATCACGTGGCCATACTCCAAGCCAATCATGTTGTTCCCCATTCCCAACATAAATCATGGGCCCCTATCCCCCTCTATCAATCAAAACTTTATAGAGTACCACGAGTCCATACTTCGAGAATACTGAATAATCACCCCACAATTTGATGCATTTTTCATAAAATCCACGTGCCCCATGAAATATGAAGTAACTCACCGGTCAAATGGGAATTGACTCATGTAGAATTCAACCAAACACTTGTACAGCTAATTTTCTTCATAAGTCAAAATGCTCAAAAGCTCCACATTCCACACCACCACCACCACCACCACCAACACTACTACTAACAAACATTTGTTGAAGTTGGTGTTGGACTTACAATCCAGACCAGACCAGAGGGAGCGTTGGATGGATATATATGTGTGTGTGTGTGTAGACCTTTGTTTAACTTTGTGACGCCCCAAATTATCAAACTTGATATGATATGGAAACATCAAAGCAAACAATCCACATTCCACTCTGTTTTTGCATTCTTCTTCTGTTGTTGCTCTCTCACATTGCAGCCTCCAGCACCATCGTCACATCTTTGCCCGGTTTTAATGGCACTCTTCCCTTCTCACTTGAGACCGGGTCAGTGAGTTTGTTGTTTCCTTCAATTCTTTCTCCCTGTTTGGTTGCTGAGAATGAAATTGAAAGATTTACTGAATTGTATTATGCAATGCAGATATGTGGGTGTGGGTGACATGGATGATGTGCAGCTGTTTTACTATTTTGTGGAGTCTCAGAGGAACCCTGCTCAAGATCCTCTAATGCTTTGGCTTACCGGCGGCCCCGGCTGTTCTTGCCTCTCTGCTTTCTTCTACGAAAGTGGTTCGTTTCTTACCATTTTTACTTACCTAACCAATACGTATATTATTAGAGAAAATTTTAATGTAACAGTGATACAATGTAATTATTAACACGTAAAATCATTGTCTAATAATAAATTACTATATGGGCATACAATAGTGAACCACATCGTGCTGTGCTGATGATAGGGTAGTTATTGAATTGTGTTGAATGATAGTTACATTAAATTTAATTAGTAGAATTCATGAATCCTGTATAGCTATACCACGATGATAACATGTTATCAACGTTAAAGTAATATCTTTTTCCTTCCTTTGAAAACTGCCAAATGACTTGGAAGATCTATCATCCATTAGTATTGATTTTCAGATCATTGTCAATTAGTAATGTGTTGGGTTTCTTTGTCTTGAAAATCCTTGTCCCTCTCTAATGTATCTCTCAGTCAAGTAATATTATTTTTTTAACTTTGAAAAAATTATATTGTGTGATGCAAAGATACATAAACATGGTCCTTTCCTTCTTCTTTTTTAATTACAAATGACATGACATGCACACATTGCTTTGAAACTGAAACATCACTCTACAAAGGAAACTAGAGACCAAACTTAAATAAATAGATAAAGATAAGAAAAAAACAGCTTTCAGGTACATCAATTTATCTCATGCATTCATTCCTTTAGTCCAAAAAAAAAGACTAAACCAAGCCTAAAGTCCCATCAAATGGGGTCGGCTATAGGATTCATTGTCATAAGGGATCTGAGCGGCTTTTTTACGTATTGGCTATCGGATACCTAACACACAACCCTCCTTCTTAACCTGGCCTTGGGAACGGCGGAGTTGTTAACAACCCCGGCGGAGTTAGCCCAAAACAAAAAAGAAAAGAAAAGAAAAGGAATCTAATCAAGCTCAAATTATCATAATAAGGAAAACAAAAAAAAATTATTTGTGTAGTTCTGTATTCTAGGTTGTTAGATGTAGGAAAGAGGTATCAACACAAGTTCCAATTTTCTTTTATTTTTTTCTTTCTGTTTTCGAAAAAAATGTGGAAAAAGAAAAAGACAAAAGAAAGAGTACAACACCAGACCAATGGTTGTAATTGCAGTTCTTTAATATCTGTAAATTTGACATCAGGAGCTGCAATAACAGTAGTTAGTGAAAGAAAATCAATGTTCAAAACTCGAAACCATGTTACAGTTGAGTGAGTATATAGTAATGTTCTTGAACCCCCAATGAACTAATAAATAATTTTACTATATAGCAGCAAAAAATATGAACTACATTTTGCTTTTACTTTTTTATTTATTATTATCTAATGAGTAATGCTAGGTATCATGAAAATAATCATGTAAAATTTTTCATCGTTAGATTACATATATAAGAAAACACCACACACTAATCAAAGAATAAAAAAATTTCATGAAATATTTCATGATATTTTTTTCATAATTCCTAATAATACTCTTATCTAATATATGAGTTCATTGAGCAAGTTTTGGATTGTAATATGCTTTTACAATCGGATTGGATATTTAGGCCCATTTCAAACCGGTTGAAGTGGAGTAACATATTTTTTTTATTTTTGTTGTTTTTTTCGAACTTGGGTCATCTGAATCTTATCCGGCTCGGTCAATGTTGTATCACAAATACCCATCTCATTATGTAGAAAATAAATTTCCACATCATTTTATATAAAATAAATTTGTATTTATGACATTACATCATTTTAAATAAATTAATAATTATAATACACAACTTGTGGCGTGAGGCAGGTTCAACTCTTATGGATTGAAATTTGATACTTTTTATATTGATTTATTTCTCCTCATTATGAAATTATATTGGGCTTGGTATATTAGGTTGTTAGGCTTTTGTGACTTTCTAACTATTGTAAATTAGTAAATTATTTGATGATATAAATATTTCTCATATTTGTAATTACTCTCTTATCAGTTGATAAAAAAATAAATAAGTAAATTACAAATACACCCCGTATGATTCACCTAAAATACAAATTGCCCCTATAGTTTGGAAAATTACAAATATTTTTTTATCAGAATTTTTTATTTAACAGAATTAATTAAAAATGTGAAATTCCTAACTGAACTCCTATATAATAATATTTGACAAAATTCCTTTTAGTTGTGATTTTATTTGCTCTTTTGTTTTAGTAAGGCTATGAGTGTTTAGATGCAAATCCAACCCGAATTATGCTTATGTAGAGGAGTTTGTACTAACATTTCGGATCTTGAGCATTCCTTATTTACCACTTCACTGACTATGCCCCTGGCGGATCCAGGGGCTAAGCGGGGTCAAGGGGTAGCGCGCTCAAGTAGTCATTTGTGTGCTCGAGCGGTAAAGTGGTTTACCTAGTATCTCTGCCTACGTTTTGAACTTTTGGGAGGCAAGTTTTATCACTCGAGCGATAGATGTTGTGCTCAAGTGGTTGGCCTATATGTTTGCACTGCCTTACACTGCTCGAGTGGTAACGTGGTGGCTCGAGTGGTCTTCATGACTCTGTTTAGTATGAAGTGCGCTGTTTGCTAGTTTTAGGGTTTAACTCGTCCAGATTCTCAAAGAAAGTTTATTATATTGGAAGGTGTTTTATGTTAGTTTTCTTGATGTATAGAGGGTGATTGATTGATCAATGAACTACGTATTGACAAACATCAAGGGTTATTTTGTTCTTCCATTCACTAAAAGAGAGAGAAGTGTTTTTCGGTAGATTCTGAGGAACTTGGGCCTGAAGCTTTGGTAGATTCCAGAGTGGCTCATCATTGTGGATTCGACATCGACGTTGTGGATTCAATATTGAGCAAAGCAATTCCATGGTGAAGACAGTAGTGGAAGAGGCACATCGGGATCGGTTCAATTCAAGCTTGAATTCACTAAGTAATTGAGAATTCTAGTGTATAATTCTTTTTGTTTTCTTAGTGGATTGTTTTGTGGCTTTAGCTCGTGGTTTTTTTATTTATTTATCACAATTGGAGGAGTCCAATTGTGGCTTTTTCCACATTAAATCGTTGTGCGGATTTGTTGTTGATTGTTTGATTGGGATTACTATTCATTGTTTAAAATTGAATCATAATCACAAATCAATAGCTCCAGGGTTTTTAGGATTTTCAAAGTTCTTCCTCAAGTCTTCATGGAACCATAGTAAATAGATTCGTAGACACAAGAAGCTGAAAAATATTAGGTATGTTTGGTTAATTTAATAGATTTGTGCATTTTCACATGCTGAATCTTTAGAGGTCTTGTTTCAAAAAGGCCTTTTAGCAACAATAAGCATTTTGGTAAAGGGTCTATGGAAATTTCTTCCAAGCATTTTGGTTATGGGTTTTTCTATTTTTTTTTTCTTTTTTTCTTTCCCCACATCCATTTTCAAGAAAATCTTTGGACACCTCTGTTAATGGATCTTTTAATTTTTGTGTTCTTTCTGTCTTTTTTTCTCTGCTCAGTTTCGTTCAATAGTTTTATACTTCATACAATCATGAAACTTATCATTTGCGCTGTTTGCCTTTGTGCATATCGCTTGACTAATTGTCCCTGGTTTTCAAGCCATCAAGAACCATAAGATCAAATATTACATTAAAAAGCTCATATCTTTCAATTGAATGGTATCATTCTAAAAGATCTGCAATCTTTTTTGAATTTTCAAGGCAGCAAAAGCAAGTTGCAATGGTGATTATGTGAATATAGATAATGAAGATTGTGAATTAAATATGGAAGCCATCAATGAGGTTAGAGGGACTATCATTTATTTATTTATTTTTCTTCTCAGTCTTTAGTTTGAAGATACTGAGAACAAGGATTATATTTTGAATATACAGTTGATCCTAGACATAAAGTTCGCACATGTTTTGGAACCTTATTGTGGGTACGCATCCCCAAGACCACATGATCGAAAATGGCGTCAAAGATCTCTCAAAGAGCACTCTAAAGATCCCCTCCGCTTACAACGAATTGGTCCTGCATTTTTTTGCCGGGTAAACCTACCTTGTAACACAAAAATTCTTGTTTAATTTTTCTTTTGGTATGCAATTTCATTTCTTATTTAGTCAAATAAAATAATAAAATGCCCAACTAGTCTTCTTCTTTTATAGGTTACCTTTATGTTCTCTCCGAGATATGGGCAAATAACGAGACTGTCCAAGAAGCTCTCAAATTTCGATCGGTATGTAGAACTAATGAAACATCAAATTTCACATACTGGAGAAAATTTTGATCAGTAAAATTTTTATGACACTAAATATTGAACAGGGGACAACAGGAGTTTGGCAGAGATGCAATGGCAGCTTAGCTTATACAGAGGATGTAACAAGTAGTATTGCTTATCATCAGAATCTAACTGCAGCTTCCCTCCGAGCTTTGATATTCAGGTCAAATCTTCTTCTTTTTTTTGTGTGTGTGTAACTTCTTGGTTCATTTCCATTATTTTGCAAAATCTCGAAGGTTTTATAGAGTTACCGCCTATCAAGAAATAATATTTAGGGTTTCAAATACAAAGCCAAAGGTGGCCAGTATAAGTAAAATTTGATCTTAATTATCTTTCTCTTGATTTAAAATGATCTCTTTTGCTAACAATTTATTGAGTCCTAATACATCAAGAATTACACCTACAGGATTTGGGAAACTATAATCCCTTAAAAGCACTGTTACATTTGTACTCATTGAATGAACTTTTTTTTGGTTTTTCAAATTCTATGCAGTGGTGATCATGATATGTTAGTTCCACACATCGGTACACAACAATGGATTAATACTCTAAATTTGACTCTGAGTAATGTTTGGCGAGCATGGTTTGTCGATGCTCAAGTTGCAGGGTGGGTTTTCTCAATCTGCTCATTTTTTACTTTTTATTTTTTATATCTACCTCTTTCTTCTTCTCTTTCATGTGGGCATACATGTGCAATTTGACATATATATTGTTAAAATCTACCTACTCCACTAAACCTTCACCCACTTAAACCTACTCCACTAAACCTAACCCACTAAATCCACATACTCTCCACCTACTTCACCCACTTAAACCTACTCCACTAAACCTAACCCACTAACAAAAGACAATTATGCTTTGACGTATGCAACTGTGAAGGCAAGTTATCAAAACCTTTCCCTTTGTTTCTTCTCTCCATTATCTACAGCTTGAAAATAATGACTTCAAATGTATTTTATGTTAGATTTCAATAGAAACCCCAAATCCCAAGCTTGTTGTGGAATAATCCAAATGAGCAAACAAAAGCAAGAAGAAGGAAAAAAAATCAATCACACAAACAAGAAAATACACAAATAGTTCAACAAGATTGTTTACGTTTACGGCTCACACCAGTTTCACTACGTCAGAAAAACAAAAGAGAGAGTACAACAGCCGCTGCTACAGAGCACAACATTGTATAATGCTAGGGTTTACGTCAACAATTACCAAAATCCCAACAAAGATCTCATGTCAGACCAAAAGAACAAAGCAATAATAATAGTAAACGAGAACCTAATGCCATTAATATTGACAATCTAAGTAGTAGAGAGCCCTATAGCAGTTGTTGTCTTACGCCTCCAATCTTTTCTTACTCTTGTCTCACACACTGATGAGAAAGAAGAGGCTAGAGTCTGGACACTTCATCAAAAGTCGTGCCCGACAGAAAGCGTCGAGCCATCAAAAGGTGAGCCGGAGACGCGGCGAGGCATGTGAGCGACAGAGCGGCATGTCGGCCGCGTCGTCTGTGTCAATATAAACCAATGCGGAGGCGGAGGAAACCAAACCAGACTGAAACCTCTGAACTTGTTATTCTGAAACAATCTGTATATACTCTGTATCCAACCCTTATCGGAAACACTCAGCAACCCAAAAAACATGGCCTCTTCTTCCCGTTCAGCTACCCAGAATATGGCCTCTTCATCCCGTGGTCTACTCACTCTCTTTCCCGACCTCAATGAGTCAACAAGAGAGAGAACTGGTGCGGTGGCCAGTGAACCTCAACCAAACACCTCTGTGTTTGCTCCGTTGAACTTTCCGATGCGGTCGGTGGAGCATAAAATGGCAGTGCAGTCGGATGTTGGAATCCAGTGGAATCATTGTAATGTACATCAATATATATCAATCAATAATACAATTCTCTATTTCTCTTTATACATTAAATTTCTACATGGTATCAGAGCCATAAGATTTAGGCCCATATTTTGTTTTCTCACCGGCGGGCAGCCGACCGGCAATCTTGCCTTCGCTGCCCGCTGGAATTTTGTACACATACCTCTTCATTTCTAGTGTTAAAACTACTATCTGCTAATGCCATGTATTCTTGAGCTTGAGATACAAACCAAAACAACAACAATGAATGTGTCTCAGTTCATAATTTTTTTTTAAAGTAAGTGTATCCATGAATTCGGATATGGATTTGGATTTTGGATTTGTCATGTTGGACATGAGACTTCGATTTGAAATCAGTAAGTTGTGACACTTACGTCTACAAATTGATACATTGAATGAGTTAGTACTTTTCAGTTAATAAATGGTTCTTGAAAGTTCTTACAGATGGTAATTTCCATTAATTTCATAAGGATTTCACATAATTTTTTTTTTTCATTTTTAATTTGGCATGTTTCTAAATACATGTGTTATGTTTTATAATTATTGGCTATTATTTCATATTACTAGTTTCCCCAATCTAGGTTTCATTCAAGTTAGTCCACATTGTACTTTATTGAAGATAAAATGGGACATAAATATTAAGAGAAATAAAGAAAAGCTTCGCTCATCTCCTACCTTAATAGCTTTAAAAACCCTTCTGAAGAGGGAGTGTCTCTGACCTTGTTTAATCACCATTTTGTTTTGACATCAAATACCATTTGCCACTTCATCCAACGTATTTTCCTACTTTTACCATTTCCATTCCACCATTTTGTTTGACCTTGTTTAATCACCATTTTGTTTAACATGAAACCCTATAAGCAAATTCAAGGGGTGGATTGCCTAAGGGATAGGAAAGTGGTAGTTAGTGACCAAAGTTGCACAAGGAATAGGAGGAGAGAGGAGAGAGGAGATAAGAGAGAGAAGGGAAGAATAAGGCATTTTGGTGCATTCAATAGATTCTACTCTCTTGTAGTTTATTTATTTTTATTCTTTCCAACCTTGCTCTAATTATGTTCAAAAAACATTGCTCTAATTAAAATTTTGGACAATTATGACAAGTAACATATAGTTTACCCCTCTATCATTTTGACCCCTAGAGTTTTAATTAGTTTGAATTCAACCTTCATTTTTGAAATAATGTCAATTTAGTCCAACTAAAACTGACCATTAGTTTTTTTGACTAAAAGCACATGAGCAACATATTTCATACTTTTAGTGGCAAAATTGTAAGTTTGCTCATGCCCTGTACAACTAAAATGAGTTCACTCATTCAAAAAAATAAACCATATGACTCAGTGAGCCATGTACGTACGTGTATGTATATATATATACAGAGAGAGAGAGAGAGAGCGCTAAAGAGAGACAAACAAAAAGAGGAGTTGGGAAGGAAGAACGTCTACAGTTAACGAGAGATAATGGGCACAACTGTGATACAAAATGCAACAAGGGGGCGATGTTGGAGAGAGAGAGAGAGAGAGAGAGAGAGAGAGAGAGAGAGAGAGAGAGAGGTGGCGTCAAAAATCTAGGAATAAGAAAGGAAAGTATTTCAACTCTCATTCTAGTTCAAGATGTGATTTTGATTATTTTTCATTTTGGTCCAAGACGCCATACCTAATTCAAATTCTTGATCCTCATACCTTTTTCTTTTGATTTTGATGATTGTGAATAGTGTTGTTGGTGGTTGTGGGTGTTTGGTGGTGGTGAGGTGTTTGGTGGCAAATGGTGGCAAATGTTATCATGGGTGGAGGAGGTGAATGCTGGTGATAGTGGAGTCAGGTGGCGGGTGGAGGAGGTGATCAGTGGTTGATAGTAATGGAATTAATGGGGGGCAAGTAGAGGAGGTGCATGGTGGTAGGTGGCTAGTAAATGTTTCAAGGAGATGAAAGGGGAAGAGATTTGAAATGTCTATTTTGACCTTGAAAATGGTCATACATGGACATGACTATTTTTTATTATAAACTTAATAGATGTTATCAATTGAACCAAAGTGAGGTATAATAAAGGGAAAATATATTCATAGTTCTTATAGTTTGATTCTTGTGTCAATTTCATCTTTGTAATTCTAATGACAATTTTATCCTTAAAATTTTCACATTTTATTAGTTTATCTAATTGATAACGCCTATTTAGAAATTGCACTGAAGTTAGGAGACAAAATTGTCTACTCACTTCTCTTAAATTTACTGAGCAGGTTGGTGTCTAATTGGGACTCATCCATTTTGAATGGACCATTCATTGTGCTTTCATTTTTTGTTCAATTTCATAACTGATATTTTTAAGAGTTAATTATACTTAGATTCCTTCAACCATTAACAAATATCACATTATCCTCTCTAATTTATGAACTCGTACATATTGATCCTTCAACAATAAAAACGTACAAATACACCATTTTTAAAGGTGCTCAATTAAATATTTTTTTCCCACGGATTTGCAATAATTAGCCCCATAATGCTACTAATTTATAATTTTCTCCTAAAAAAAAAAAATTTGCATGATAGCCTGAAGTATCCCAGCATGTGGTGGGATTAATTATTGGAGCCATCACAACAATGATACACTCGGACCATCACCAGCTTATTATCTTATTTTAATTTTGTTAATATTATATTTTGGTATATTATAGGATTATTCAATTTTTATTGTACATATGTACCTAAATATAAGTATTCAAACTATCTTTAAATTAAAATAATTGTAATCCAATAATTAATTTTTAAAAATTCAACTCATTAACCTAATTTAAACTAATATTAAATCAACTAAATAAAATTAGATGATTAGTATTTTATGGTAGAATGCCTTCAAATTGTATTTTGAATTAAAATTATTTCAATATGACGCTTAGAGTTTTAAAAAATAAATCAGTAAGTTGTGACACTTACGTCTACAAATTGATACATTGAATGAGTTAGTACTTTTCAGTTAATAAATGGTTCTTGAAAGTTCTTACAGATGGTAATTTCCATTAATTTCATAA